AGCGTTTCCGAAAAGGCATTCTGTGAAGGCCTGAAGCCAATAATACGAGAAATAATATGTAGTTTCAAAAAACAAAACACCTGGGTCCTTATTCTTGAAACAGGGGAGCAGCGTTCCCAGGAGAATGAGTGTTTCGTCTTTGTAACTCACATTATCATTTGCATACCATTGAGAAAGACGGAACACTCGTTCTCCTGGGAACGCTGCTCCCCTGTTTCAAGAATAAGGACCCTGTAGGTCTATTCTTGAAACCGGGGAACAGCATTCTCAACAGAATTAGTGCTTTGTCTTTGTCAGTATTATGAAAAAAACAATATGTGCGACTGAGACAGAATCTTCATTCTCATGAGAACGCTGCTCCCCTGATTCAAGAATACGGGCCCTGGGCCCTTATTCTCATAGCCGAGGAACAGCGTAAAACAACCCTAGATAAATGAATTTGGTACCTATTTTAAACTGTTTAACCATTTAACAGAAGATACATTGTGATTTTGAATTTTTAAATAATCATTACCAGTAATGAACTGTTGTGACTGAATGTGACATTTTTGTTGCTGCATATACAGGGTGTTTTTTTTAATTTGGGGTTTTCCGTTTAACATGATATAGAACTTAAAAAATAAATGGATTGTTGAAATAACATTTTCTCGAAAACTTAAATCAAAAATTAAGGGGATATGGTCATTGTAAATCGAGTTTTTAACAATATTGGAAATCAAATAAGTCCGTATGCAAAAATCTTGGCAAAAAAGGACCCCGCACATTTCTTATGGAAAAGTGATCTATGTGGAATTTTGCTGAATTTTTGATATTGTGTATAGGGAGTCTTCCTTAACAAAAGTGATCATTGCGCTAATGTTCAATACCCAACAGTTTTCAAGATATCAATTAAAAACTATTTTAATATGATACTCTTCAGTATGACGTCACCAGTATGCTCACAGCAACGAAAATTATTACTATCCTTTCCATTTGTGACTTTGACTTTACTCTTCTCCTTTTAACATTAAGAAAAAAAAAAGAAAGCGACAGCGATTAGTGACAAATAAGTAGGTATGTAAACAACACCTAGCTCCTGCCGCAATCGTCAACTTCATGTCATGATGTCTGTCAAATAGCGATTTCATTTGTACCTGTTGTTGTTTTTTTTATTTCCTAAATGTTAAAAGGAGAAGAGTTTAAGTATAGTCAAAATCAAAAGTGAAAAGGATAGTTATAATTTTCGGTGCTGTAAGCATACTGGTGACGTCATTTATTTATTTATTTATTTATTTATTTATTTATTTCAAACAGTATCTACAGCCAAAAAGCCAATTACAGATACCTATGCTTATTCTAAAAGTATGTAAAATGTCATCAAATTAATAACTATTACAACATCCAACGTGAAAATGTAAACGACATAAATGCAAGTAAAACCAACATTAAACACGAACAGTACACACAAAACTTACATGCTAACTATTGCGTAATTTTAAGTCAATTATTCGTTTGAACTGTCTGTAGGTAGTGCTATCAATATCAGTATCTGAAGCATATTTATTGAACATATTGCACAAATTATATATTGGAGAGCTTTTATATAAATTCGTCCGTGGGTAAGCTAAATAATAGTTATTTATGTATCAAGGGAATTATGCAGGTGTTAATACCCCAGGGCAACGTTTGTGTCCCGAGGGCCTCCGGCACGAGGGACACCAATTGCCCGTGGGTATTAACTCCTGATAATTCCCGTGGTACATAGATAATTTTATATCCTACTGAATTTACTGTATTCTGTCTATTTTTATAAAGGAATAAGCCATAAATCAAAATTTCTATTTTTTGTCAAAGTGTTACCTATTCAAGGTAAAAGCGGGAGTTATGGAAATCCTTAACTCCCTTGGGAGTTATGATATCCTTAACTCCCTTCCTTAACTCCCTTGGGAGTTATGAAAATCCTTAACTCCCTTGGGAGTTAAGACCCTGTTTATGATTATCGTAACCAAGGTATTACCTATATGGTTTTAATAGTTCAGTAGGATATAAAAAACATTTTTTATTCTTGAGTTGACACGATTTATGGCAAAAGGAAGTTGACCGACTATTTCTGGAGAATCAACATAACCTTTTAGTATTCTGTACATTGTTGCGAGAAATATTTTAGTTCTTCTTTGATTTAGAGACAGTCTATTAAATAAACCTAGCAAGAAGTCATTGTCACAACCTCTTTGTGGATAAAATCCGTACTTTCTAAAGTGCATAGCCTTCAAAAATTTTCTTTGAACTCCCTCGATAATACTTATCCAAATGTGATACTGAGGGGACCAAATTATACTACCATACTCCAGTATCGGTAATACCAGACTATCAAATAGGTGGATGCTGACATCAATATTGAACTGTTTAGTATTTCTACAGATAAACCCGGCAACTCTCTGGGCACTCTCAATCTTCGAAATAATATGAGAAGAAAATGAAAGATTATCTTCAAAAGTTACACCCAAATCCTTTTGTTCAGAAACACGTTTTAGTTTTTCATTATTTATTGTATAGTCAAATTCAATTGGGTTTTTATTACGACTGAAACTGAGACAGGAGCATTTGTTCAAATTTAAGTTAAAGCTATTTTTCTGACAATAACTCGCTGAATCTTGTAATTCTCTTTGAAGAATTTTGCAATCTTCAATCGAGGTGATTTCAATAAATAATTTAAAATCGTCGGCAAATGCCAATGATTCCACATTTTTGACTTTGCAAAGAATTTTATTGAAAGCAATAACAAAAAGAAGGGGCCCAAGATTTGACCCTTGGGGCACACCAGAAGAACTAACAAAAAGAGTAGACCGACTACCTTTTAATTCTACAAACTGATACCTTTTACTTGAGTCTGTTCCTAAGTAAGATTGAATTAAATTATTCAGGTATGGAGGAACATCCATTGCCTCCAGACCATCCAAAATAGTATTGTGACTTACTTTATCAAATGCTTTTTCTAAGTCAGTGTAGATAACATCTACCTGTGTTTTCCTATTCAATGCTTCATGTATATATTGCGTAAAGATTGTTAGATTTGTAAATGTGGACCTTTTTGGTAGGAAACCATGTTGATTGGGAGATATTTTAAGTGATACTTCATTGAAAAGCAATTCAAATATAACAATTTCAAATATTTTTGAGATTGCACACACTATTGTTATGGGTCTATAGTTTTTAATATCTTGTTTAGGACCACTTTTGTGTATAGGTATCACTTTACTAAGTTTCCATTTTTCTGGGAATGTGGCGGTTTTAAGCATAAGATTAAACAAGATTTTTAAAGGAACAAGTAAAAATTCACTGCACCCTTTCAGTATAAATGCAGGAATACCATCATGGCCAATAGACTTGTTTGGTTTAAGTTTTTTGAAAGCCTTTTTTATGTCTAAAACAGATATTTCTGCATCACAAAAGTATGCTTTAGCATTATTTGCATTGGTGTGATCGGCAATATTATCATTACTGATAAACACAGATTTGAAATATTTTGCAAAGCCGTTAACAATGTTGAATGTTCCCGAGAATATTTCATTCTCAAACGCCATTTCATCCGAAATCTCTGGACTTTCCTTAAAGCTTTTAAGATATGACCAGAAAAGTTTTGGGTTAGATTTCAAGCTTGATTCAACATCCACCAAGTATTCAGCATGGGCTGTTTTGATTTTATTCCTGATTAAGGTTCTCAAACCGTTATATCTGGTTTTCCAAAACTGAGACTTGTATTTACGAGATTTCAAAAAGTCATACTGAAGAGTATCATATTAAAAAAGTTTTTTAATTGATATCTTGAAAACTGATGGGTATTGAACATTAGCGCAATGATCACTTTTGTTAAGGACGACTCCCTATACACAATATCAAAAATTCAGCAAAATTCCACATAGATCACTTTTCCATAAGAAATGTGCGGGGTCCTTTATTTAATACAAAAAAAAATAGATGAAATTCTAAAAAATATTTTAGAAAATCTGAAAGATGATGGAAATTCAAACACCTTATTTGAGAAAATCGGAATCGGTAAAATTCTTGTTAGAATTTAATTTTTTTTTGTATTAAAGTTTTTGCACCAGGGACTTTTTTGATTTTCTTCAAAAAGGTGTTTGAATTTGCATCATCTTTCAGATCTTCTACAATTTTACCTTTCTTTTTATATTAAGTAAAGTTTTTGCACATGGACTCATTCTGAGCCTCATTCATTTATTTTTGAGTTTTTGACAGAATGTTATTTGAAAAATTCGTTTATTTTTTTAGGTTCTATGACGTCATCTTAAAAGGAAAACCCCAACATAAAAAAACACCCTGTATATAATATAGATTTAGCTCCTTGTGCTTGAAAAAATAGCAAACGTCGCATCAAAAAACATTTTTTTTTTAAGCGTTTCCCCTCATTGATTAAATTAAATTGCCGGATTTAGTCCAATTTTGTTCATTTATGCGACTCAAAACTGCAAGGACCTCAAAGACAACAAAAAAACGTTCGAAGATCGAGAAACTCCTGAGAATTTCCGTTAACACCAAATAATGATCAGAACATTTTTTAGAATTAAAAGAATGACATTTCCTGTTTTTGAGTCATTTCAAGATACTTTGAAATTTAAAAAATCAAAATAATCTCCTGCCACTATCAAATTTGACTTCTAAATCATGTGACTAGTGAAAACTGAAAACCCGTTTTGATTGGTTCTTTCAAAGATGCTACGACTAGCCGATGGAATAGATGAAATTGCCAATCTGAATAATCTTTATTCAAAAACGTACTGACATTTTCTCTGAGTTTTTCAGGAATTATTTGCAGCTGCTTGCTCTTGTTATTGGCCTTTTCTCGTAGCTGCAAAATGAATTAGGAAGGTGTCAGTGCTCGAAGGCATTCATATTTTATTTTTTATTTTTTTTTAATGTTTATTAACGGACTTGCCATTTTACTAAATCTACTTATACAAAAATTTCTCAATATTAATCAAAAAATTTCCTTTTTTTTACAGCGGGCGTTATTTCACTTCTAGAAGAGCCTAGACCAGAATTGAAGATATTTGCTCTCAAGAAGTTAGACAATATTGTAGATGAGTTTTGGCCTGAAATCTCAGAAGCTATTGAAAAAATGTAAGTAAAAGAGCCGTTTTCAAGTCATTATTTGCCTGTATTATTGGGTTATACACCAAACAATAATTTGATTCTTTCTTTTAGTGAAATTTTACATGAAGATAAAATATTTCAACAACACCAGTTAGCAGCTCTTGTTGCCAGCAAGGTGTACTATCATTTGGGAGCTTTCGAGGATTCATTGACTTATGCTTTGGGAGCTGGGGAGCTTTTTGATGTTAATGCTCGTACTGAATATGTAGAAACAACTTTATGTAAGTTACAGCACAAAGTATTTTGAAACCTTAGAATGACGTATGTTAAGCTGGAAGAGCAAAGTCAGCAGAATCAAAAATCAACATGTGAAACATTAAAGGCTAATTAAATGCCCTAATGAGAAATTTTAGGCTCCGTGAATTTTTGTGAAAACTACTGTCTAGCTTTAACTTAAGCTAGCAGAACTGCAGCGGAAAAGTGACTAAAACAACGAAAATTGCAATTCCACTTGCACAGACATTGCAGGCTCATTAAAGGCTCTGGAAATACACCAATCATGAATTATTTCAGGCTCAATTACTTTTCTTGTGAAAATGCGAAAAGTCGCGATGCGTGAGTGATGTCGGCCAAGCATGGTGGAAAAATTTCTGATGGTGAAAATCAGTGTTCCGATAGTGCAGTCGTTGTGGATACATTAAAGGCTAATTAAATACTGTAATGAGAAATTTTAGGCTCCGCGATTTTCCGCGAAAATGGCTGTTCTTCTAGCTTTAACTTAAACCAGCAGAACGTGCGAAAAAGTGAGTAAAACAACGAAAATTGCAATCATTTGCTTTTGTGAAAATACGAAAAGTTGCATCGCCTGAATGCGGTTGGCCAAGCATGGCGTTAAAACCTCTTGGACAGTGAACCTAGTGACTTATTGAAGGCTAATTAGATGCTGTAATAGGAAGTTTGGGTTAGTTTTCAATTTTAATCAGACATTTCCAAACTAACCGATAATAACCCGGGTACTTTTCCAAGCTTACTAAATCAAAAAAGTAATTGAGCCTGAAATTTGCGATTGGTGTACTTCCGGATCCTTAAATGAGCCTTTAATGTGTCTGTAAGTGGAATTACAATTTTTGTTATTTTGGTCGCATTTTCGGTCATGTTCTTCTGACTTGTGTTAAAGCTAACAGAACAGCCATTTTCGCAAAAATTGGCGGAGCCTTGAATTTTTCCTTAGGGCATTTAATTAGCCTTTAATGAGCCTTTAATGTTCCATGTATTGATTTTCGATTCTGCTGAATTTGCTCTTCCAGCTTAAAAGAGTCAGTCAAGTCAAGTCAAAAATAGCTTTATTGATATAAGAATTATAACATCTCTTTATCAAAGCAAACTTAAAAATAAAAGTTGTAGCAAATACAGGCTTAAAATTAAAAAAAAAAAAAAATCATCAAATAAAATGAAACAAGACTGTGCTGCTAAAATACTCTTATAAAATAAACTACATAGATTAAAATAACACATTAAAAGACATTAAAGGTAACATACTTAAATACTAGACATGTATAAAGTAATAAGTCAGTGAGTAAAATATAAGACAAACTAAACTGTAAACGAAAAGACACTAAGCAAAAGTATCACTGAAAAATTCAGCAACCGAATAGTAAGCCCTCCCAACCAGTATCCTCTTTACCTTCCCCCTAAATTGCTCTTTGTTGCATATCTCACGGACATTAGAAGGCAGGTGGTTAAAAAGCTTTTTACTATTATAGATAACAGATTTTTTTACTAGCGTTGTTAAGGGGATAGGTAGAGGAGCAATGTGCGATGACCGAGTTGCATAAGCCCCAGCAGTCAGGATCTCATTGTGGAGAGAAGTGATTGTGATGGGTTTTTACATTCATCCATGAAATTTTCTTTCCTTTGCAGGTGTATTAAGAGTGCAAAAGCTTCATCACTTTTCCTTGGTTAATTTTGAAACAGGATTCTCTGCAGATTTGTCCTACTTTGTTTGCTAGATAAAAAGGTTGAATGTTGAATACTGAATTCATTTATTATTGTTTTCAAATTTGTTTGCAAGTTCTTAAACTCTACAAGCTCTGTTGAAAATTTTGTTTAGAAGTGATTATGAAAAATTAAATTGGGTTGCTAAGAAAATCAGATTACTTTATCCGAAGACGCAATGGCAAATACAGGTTACACATGACAAACAACAGAACTGCAAAATCAAAATACCGCTTTCGAGGTTGCTCAAAATACATAATGCATAATTAGTGTTCATTTCCCAATCATAGTTTTATTTTTAGTTTCTACGATCACTTTGCAATATTTCTAAATTATTAGTTCATGTTCAGTTTCTTGATCCATTTTAATAATATCTTTATTAGGGCGGGTATTATAAAACTACTTTGAGAGTTAACTTAAAGTTAACTGTCAAAGCAGTTTTATAATACCCGCCCTTAGTAGCACCAGGCTAGCATAGAATACTACAATACAAAAGCAAAAAAAATACATACATATATGTAATATATATAAATATCAACAACAATACTGACAATAAATATAACAACAAATCAATAAATATAACAGTCCTTAAATATCACAGAATAATTGTTTGTTTAACATGTTCTATACATTTTTGTTTAAATTGATGCAAACTATTAGATGTTTTAACAAATTCTGGCAACTCATTATATTGTTGTAGACCTTTATAAGACAAACTATTCTGACCAAAACTAGTGCTTGACATATGCAGATAAAAATTGTCTCTTGATCTTGTATTATTGTTGTGGATTTCTCTAACAAATGTACATTTTTCAAGAAGATGCCTTGGTAATAAATTATTTAACATTTTGTATATAAATACCATTGTATTAGAGGTTATTGTCTGGTTTACACTCAATAAATAAAAATAATAAACACAAAAGTCACATGTATCAGATGGAAAATACAACCAAAACTTTTTTTTAAAAATCATTTGGGGTTAGGAAGTGGAATAAAGATTAGGTTTTATTTGCAACCATGAAAACATCTGAAAGGTGGTGCAGCAAGCAATTATTTCGCTGAGTCTGTAATTGGCCACTAATTTGTATCTTGTAACATTACTTAAAATTACAATGTAAATTACTAAAAAACATTTTATAAAAGACATTCATAATTTTCCTTTTTTAAAAAAGTGACATAGAGACACAAAATATAAAATACAAAATTCAAAAAATACACAATGTAGAACATACAAATAAACTTGGGTATAAAAAAAAACAGCACTATTCAATCTTATTATTTGACCAAATGAGTGTGGAGTTGTAGAATTCTTCGAGTGAATAAAAAGCCTTTCTTATCAGATATTCGTTTACCTTTTTATTGAAAAGAGATCTATTGAGGTTAATGGTCTGTTCTGGAAGCCTATTAAACAATTTTGCGGCATGGTATCCAGGTCCATTCTGGCACCTGTGAAGTCTACAGAAATTTGGTCTTGAGTTATTCCTAGTTCTAGTGTTATGACTGTGGATATCACTGTTACAATTGTATTGGAGAAAAAAGTTGTCCTTCACGTAAAGCAAATTCTGCAAGATAAACTCGCTAGGCAGAGTCAAAATCCCGCTGGTGATAAAGGCTTTTTTACAGTCTTCCCTGTACCCAAGACCCGAGACAATGCGGACAGCCCTTCTTTGCATTGCAAACACCCTCTGCGCCCCCGTTGCATGGCCCCATACTAGGAGAGCATATCCTAGATGGGAATGCACGAGCGAAAAGTATGTCTGCCTTAACACTTGGGGAGAAACACACATAGATAAGTTTCGCAGTAAAAAAACGTTTTTACTCATCTTGTTTGAGATCATTTCGGTGTGCGCATCCCACAGCAGTTTCTGGTCTAAAACTACCCCCAAAAATTTAGGACTGTCATTCGCAGGTTCGATTTTTTTTAGTGAAAATACCACATTTTGTGTTTTGGATTCATTTAGGTACAATTTGTTTGATGCAAACCATTGGCTGGCTCTTGACTGTGCTTCGCTCGACATTTCTAGCGCTGTCTGTAGGTCTTTCTCTTGTACTTGGTATGTCGTGTCATCTGCAAAATTTGTCAGAATTTCATTTTCGGCAATATTTGGAAGATCATTTATATATATTAAAAATAAAATTGGACCTAAGATGGACCCTTGCGGGACGCCTATACTGAGCTCTTGTTTATTGGAGCATACATTATTATAATTAACAATTTGCTGTCGCTTAACAAGGTAAGATTTGATAAGGTGGATGCTGTCTAACGTGAAATTGTAAAAGGGTAGTTTGTCTAGCAATATCTCGTGCGAAACACAGTCAAAAGCCTTGCTCAGGTCACAGAACATAGTGACAGTATGCTCTGACTTTTCAAACCCCTCCATGATCCTCTCAACAACCCTCAAGGTGGTGTTTTTTCCTCTCCTAAAACCATCCTGTCCAGAACTAAGTATGTCATTTTTTTCTAAATAATTTGTAATTTGATTTGCTAGGCATCCAAAGATTTTTGACAGGACAGGCAGTATTGATATTGGCCTATAATTTCCTGGGTCATTGATCCCCTTTTTTATATATTGGGGTTACCTTGGCAATTTTCAGACAGTCCGGAAAAACCCCTTCTCCGATACAGATATTTATCAATTTAGTTAGTGGTATCAACAATAAATTCTTGACCCCTTTTATTATAGTAATATTTAAATTATAGTAGTCTTTGCTCACCTTGTTTTTCAGTTGGTCAATTATATCCCGTACTTCATTGAAGGACAACTCCGTAAAGGAGAAAGATTGACCACCTTGAGCAATATTATTCTTTAATTTTTGTTTCATTGCAATTTTTTTTTGCTTGTTTTATTGCTTTTTTATAGTCATTGCGAAATTTTTTAATATAGTCTTTTAATTGGTGAGTTGGATGATGTCTATATAAATCATTTAGATATTGAAGATGCTCTCGCATGTTTTTTAGGTCGTTGTTGAACCAGTTTATTTCATTTGTGTGGTTTTCCCTTTTTTTATATTTTTTTTTTAGGAAACGATTCATTGAAAGCCAATTCAACGAGATGCATGAGGGTTTCAAACTTTTCCCCAGCTCGAGAGTCATTATTAATGAATGAAGTCTATTTTAGATATTTTTTCATAAAATATGTTTCTCCCTGCTTGTGTTATAGGCTGACATAATCTTTCAGTAAAAACGCAATTCATTTTCTGTTGTGGACATTTGACTGCAAGTAATTGCGCATCATGATCTGACTTGCTAGGCCTAACAACACTCGCAATGAACGCAGTCTCCGAGAAATTAATAAAAATGTTGTCCAAACAATTATCACCCCGTGTAGGTTCGAAAATCGTCTGGACAAGACCATATGTGCCCAAAAGGTCTACCAGATGCCTACAGGTTTTTTCGTTTGAGCAGAATCTAACATTGAAGTCCCCTGCAAGTATTAATTTACTTTGTATACCAATATTTCTAAGAATTTTTTCAAGAATATCAAGAAAGGTGTCAAAACTTCCCGAAGGAGACCTATACATGCAAATTATTGTGATATTATACTTAGACCATTTTACCCCACATACCTCTATACATTTTTCCACACTCATCTGCTTCACCTCAAGTATTTCCTTACAACTAGAGTCTTGTTCAAGCAATATAGCTGATCCACCTCTTGTGTTTTCTTTTCGACAGAATGAGGCTGCCACATCAAGATCCGCAAAAATTCAACTTCATCTTCCCTCAGAAAATGTTCCGTTACACACAGAATACTGATTTTCTTGTCATGGACAAAAGCATCCATCTCTTCTTTAATGTCTCTAATAGATTGTGTGTTATAATGGAGCACATTAAGGCTTGTTTTCTCTCTTTTTTTGCTTCTATTTATTGCGTTGGTGGTTGATTCGTAGTTAGTATTATTATTATAGGCTTTTTCGTTCTTAGGCGGATAAATCCGATGAGACTGTTATTGTCATCAACATTCTAACAGGACAGGACCTATAGTTTATTGTGGGGCTCTCAGAGCACTCCCGATTTCTACCACCAACCAAAATCATGGGATTTTGTTCCTATAAAAAAAACTAATTTCTCCTACAGTATCTATTTCCGATACCATCCAGCCTCTAACCGGAGTGAATGGAGGATGACGAAGATACATTTTGCACTCAAGAAGATATTTTTTAGTCTGGTCGGGATTCGGACTCGGTCTAGTCGACGACGTTGCTCTACTGTGGCCAACACCTTGAGATCAAGTGTTGAGCCACCGTCATCCGATTTATCTATTATCATTTGGCAATGTCTTCAACTTAACTGCCCTTTTTGGGAATATTTTTATCTTGTAGTGAGAAGTAACTTCACTGAGTTTCATTTAAACTTTCGTACGCACCCTGCATATTTGTCAATTTTCTGGCAACATAAGGAAGATATCCAAAATACTCTATAACATATTCTATGTAACCTTGTTTTTATTTTAAGGCCCCTAATAAGGCCTCCCAGCAGTGTTATAGAGAAGTAAAATGATGGATCTTGTCTTTTTGCAGCAAAATGCATTGACTATTACACACAGCAAAGAATTGCATTAGCTGATGGAGTTAGCAATACTAAGCCAATCGATCCAAGACTTGAAGCTATTGTGAACAGAATGTTTCAAAGATGTCTGGATGACGGCCAGAATCGACAAGCTATGGGATTAGCTTTAGAGACCAGAAGAATGGATATTTTTGAAGCTTCCATCACTCAAGCTGATGATGTGATAGGCATGCTTAGCTATGCTTTTCAGGTAAGAAATATGATAAAATATTGATTTATGCTAAGCTGCGTTGTTTGTGCCTTGGGCCACAAGTATATAAATAACCTATCTAAAATAATCACCCATACAGTAGGGTTCCAAATTAATTTATGTAAGACCGGGTCGCAAAGTGCCACCCTGATGTAGGTGACCTAAGTGCATGAAAAAATGAGCAATGACTCGTTAAAACACCATTCATATTTCATATTAATGGGGTGGTGCTATTATCAGAGAAACAGAACTTAAAGAATCTGATTAACGTGATCAAAGCTCATCAAAGCCTTAATACAAGTTGCAACAAATATTTGCCTAATCTATTATTAGTTTGCATCCAAAAAGTAGTAATAAGTTAATTTCCTAATTTTAAAACTTAGTGTATTTGATTTATCAAAAATAATAATTTCCAGGTTGCCATGAGCCTAATACAAAATCGTGGCTTCAGAAACACAGTGCTTCGGTCTCTAGTTGGTCTGTATCGTGGATTGACCACTGCAGACTATGTCAACATGTGCCAATGCTTAATTTTTCTTGAGGATCCTCTCTCCGTTGCCGAAATCTTGGACAAGCTAGTTCAAGGACAAGAAGAGAGTCAGTTGATGGCATATCAAATAGCTTTTGATCTCTATGAATCAGCCACCCAGCAATTCTTGGAAAATGTGATGGTAGCTTTAAGACAGACTGCTCCTATTCCTAGTTTGCTACTGGCCAAACAGCCTAAACCTACTGAGGAAACTTCAGCGGAGACAGCGGAAACAATTTCAGAACCAAAGCCTGAAACACCAACCATAGAAAGCTTGGTTAGTATTCTTCAACTAATTTTTATTACTTATAATAGTTAATAGCTGCTGCCCTTACAAATGTGTAGAGTGGATTTTTTTTCTACACACTCGTTAGCAACAAGTAAATAATAATCAGAGCTGGGATCGTTACTTGATAGTTATTAATGATACAAGTTCGATATGAACGCCATAATGAAAAACGCCTCGTGGTTTAGTTACACAAGTTTCATTAATAAAGTTCATATCGAACGTGTATCATTCAAAATTTAATCTAAAATGGTCCAAATAGATTTGATTTGCCTTGAAATAGCAAAAACTTTTCAAATTAAAATTTGAAATTTAGCAGGTGCCCGTACTAGTCGAGAACCTGCTTGTTGGTTTTTAGAATTTTGACTTTGGCAGCTTCAATATTGGAGTCCATTTTTGTGCCATAAATTCATAGTCAACCATCCAAGGACCTTTTTTTTCAGTTATACATGTAAACCCCATACTTTGTGAGTGGCTTGCTTACATCAAGTCCTACAACTTTTCCTCTACGACTTTTCTCGGAAATGGCACGTATGCGCGCAGGCGACTCGCAAACATTTTAGGGGTATCGGACTCCCCCAATTTGCCATTATTTTTGTCGGCCAAGTTGATTTCCGTGATTTAGAAATAAAAATCAAACATTATTCGTGAAATTAGATTTTCATGTATCAAGAAACATAACCACGTCAGATCGACATTTTGGGGGTATCGGACTCCCCCAATTTGCCATTATTTTTGTCGGCCAAGTTGATTTCCGTGATTTAGACATAAAAATCAAACAGTATTCGTAAAATTAGATTTACCTACATGTATCAGGAAACATAGCTACGTCAGATCGACATGTTTGCGAGTCGCCTGCGCGCATACGTGCCATTTCCGAGAAAAGTCGTAGAGGAAAAGTTGTAGGACTTGATGTAAGCAAGCCACTCACAAAGTATGGGGTTTACATGTATAACTGAAAAAAAAGGTCCTTGGATGGTTGACTATCAATTTTATAGTGGAAAATAATATTATTATTGGTGATTCTGAGTTCGAAAGTGTCTCTTCGAATATAGAGACAGCATTATTGAAAAGGTTCTTCTGGCAACTAACTTTCTTTTTGTATATTTTTCATTTCAAAATTTGGGTGTTATTATGAATTCTTAAACGCACTAGTGCTATTATGAAGGACCTAATGACATTCAAATGACAATGCTAAATGTGTCATAATGACACCGACGTAGATTAAAAAAGTAACGCGTTACTTTACAGTTACTTTTGCTTAAAAATAACTCGTTACTTAAAATTTACAGTTACTTTCGAATAATGATAACTTTATTTTCGTTACTTATTGGAAAGTAACGCGTTACTGTAACTTCTTTACTTTGAAAGTAACTTCTTTACTTTAGAAGTAGTTCGTTACTTTTAAAGCAACGCGTTACTTCAAAAATAAATATTTACGTCGAAAATTGCGTTATTCTTTAATTTGACTCACCAACACAGCAGTCCAAACAATCAAATTAGACCTATACAAAATGCCAATATGTTATTAGTTATTAGTTTGTAAGTCCGACTATGTGGAAGAGTATTCTTGCAAAATTCAAACGGATTAAGAATTAAGCGACTAAATAGAGCACTTGGTTCTGGACAAACCTGCTCTTTGAAGAGTCCCAGTGTCTGCATATAGTGTCTTTAGAGCAGAAGCGGCGCGTGGCACGTCCAAAAGCGATTATTTTGAGCTTTCAAAACAAATTTTCTGTACTACCCACATTTTATTTTACATACAAAGTTTTTGGATAACTTATATTTCTTTTCCTCACTCGTCAATTATTTGTAAAGAAGATAAACAAATTGAGAGAACGAGTTACTTTAATAGTAACTAGTAACGCGTTACTTCCAGCGTTACTTCAGGAAAGTAACGTCGTTACAGTTACTTATCAATCATTCTGGAAAGTAACGAAGTTACCAAGTAACGCGTTACTTTTAGTAACTCGTTAAAGTAAAGTAACTATTTTCTGTCGTTACTCCCAGCTCTGATAATAATAGTGCCTATTATATTTAATAGCACTTGGCTAGCAAACATACAGGAAAAAATACATATTTACATCGTTATACAGTGTGTCCAATATAAGGATGAGATAGCATTAGGATCTGGAGGAAGGTTGAAGTTACATTCTTGGGTAGATTAGGAAAAAGTTGCGCAATTTCATGCTCAATAAAATGGTACCTACTTTGGGCCACCATCATCAACTTAATTTTTTTTAAACGGCCCTTGATTTTCTAATTCAATTTCAAGAGCTTTTGATGTCCCAAAATTTATGACGCATCGCATTTATTCAAAACTAGTATATTTCATACTGAAGTGGAAAGTACCTCATTACAGTCGAGAGATTTTAGTTAGACTGAGGCGCAGCTGAGGTCTAACTGAAATCTCGAGACAGCAATGAAATTTATCAAATCAAATCAAATCAAATATGCTTTATTGTCCGAAATACAGGGTATTCATTGACAAAGCCTTATAACTACTTATAAGTATGTATAAATGTCACTAGTACTTCTAAAAAATATAATAGGTAAACAAATACTTAAATCTAGTGTTTATCTTTTTTTTTTTTCCGTTCTTGATTACATTCCGCGTCAATTTGAAAATTAAAACAATACAGATTAAAATTAAAATACAAAAATAACTTAAAAGAAAAACATTACAAATTAAGATAAAACAAATTAGATAAAACAATCACAACCATACAGATGTGGCTCCAACAATAGGTACATCACAGCAGGAAAACGAATACAAACAGCAGAACTTTGAGCACAAGACAAAAATTGTACTTAAATTTAAAAGCTGCACAATTCAAGCTTGAGAGCTGTCTTGATAAAATTCCTCTAGGCTATAGTATGCCTTACCAGCAAGGAGGTCCACCACGGTTTTTTGAAATGGTTTATATGGCAAAGATCTACAGGTCACATTAAGATGGTTGTAAATCTTGATACTCTCGTACATTATAGAGCGCTTAGTTAATAGTTCACACTATTTTATTCACAATCAATCGAATTTTGTAATTTTTATTTGAATGAGAATTTAAAAAAAATATAATAAATTTTAACAATTTCATTTACTTCAGCCCACGGGAGGTAAGTAAACTTTCAACCCGTGGGTGGAAAGTAAAAGTTAAAAAATACAATAAATTTTAACAATTTCATTAACTTTCGGCCCACAGGAGGAAAGTAAACTTTCAACTCATGGGTGGAAGTGACATCGTGAAACTTTTTAAAAGTCAGAAAAGTCAACATTACATGTATGATTGTGAATAAGTTTTTTTTACACTTTAGTTATTTCCTACCAAAATTCGCTTCTCTGTCTCGCTCTAGCACATCAAATTCTTATGCAAAGTGCCAATAACATAAATTTTTTGAATAATTGCCATACATCATTGGTTTTGGGACATCAGAAGCTTATGAAATCTAAAATAGAAAATAAGGGTCCGTATTTAGAAAAAATGATTTGATGATGGTGGCCCAAAGACAAAACGTTAAATTTTAAAATTGATAACGTCATGTTGATGATGGTGGCCCAAAGACAAAACGTTAAATTTTAAAATTGATAACGTCAAATTGCGATGTATTTTGATGACGTACTGCTCATCGGCGCTCATCGGTGATGGAATTCATCAGGAAAACTCGATGAGAATAAAAACGCACGTATAGTTGTGTCACGTTGTGTTATAGACTCATAACCTCGTCCATGGCACCACTAGTTGTGTTATGAATTCATAACCTAGTCTATAACACCACTAGTTGTGTTATGAGTCTCATGACGTAACTCAAATACTAGAAAAATGGTTATGTAAAAACCTCATAACTAAACGCTTGTAGGTAAAATGAATAAATAATTAATCAAAAACTGTAAGTGGTAAGTAGCTAGGAGAATGCATTATTGCACTGACAGAGGGTTTTAACATCTATTACCAGACAATTTTAAGTCCTGTTCATAGCAGCCCTCAGCATCTTTCAAAACTCATGTATTAGTTTTTTTAAATAACATTTTTTTCGCAAGACTTGTCCCCATCTTATTAGAATTTATTCATTCTTCATATTTTTGAAAATAATTTTAAACTAACTTTCAGAATGAAAAAGACAAAGAACACCAAGATAGAATAAAAAAACTACACACCATCTTGTCAGGAGAAGTTTCGATAGAACTGCATCTACAATTCCTAATTCGTTCAAACCATGCAGATCTTCTAATCCTTAAGCAAACAAAAGAAACTGTTAGAGTTAGTATATGTCACACTGCAACTGTTATTGCAAATGCCTTTATGCATAGTGGCACTACTAGTGATCAATTTTTAAGGTAAGTTTAGTTTATTGGTTTTGAAGTACTGGGAAATTGTCTATATTTTGCACCCACACCCAATGACCACACCTATCCCACCTGTTTGAAGAGATACCCAGAAATGTCGAATGTGAGAGTTGTAGGTAATATCAGAAAGTTTTCAATGATGTTGGTTACAAATATACAGGGTGTTTCACAAAAGTGTGGCGAAGCAAAGTTCTACTTTTTTAAATATTATCCCATTGGATTAGCCTTTTAAACCTGATTCCAAATATGCTAGGTTTTTTAGGTTCATTTCTCATAGTCCAGACTCTGAATATCCCATTCTGAAAAAATAATATGGATTTTTTACAAGAACGATTACATTTATATTTTGTTGGTGGTCTCTATACTTTACGTTTTTCAATAAAAATGCAATTATTCCACCCCTTTTTGTCCTACTTTCTTCTGGACTATTAAGAATAAGCCTAATAAACCTAGTATATTTGGAATCAGGTTTGAAAGGCTAATCCAATGCGACAATAACGGGGTTTTTCATTTAACAAAGTATAACCTCGAGTATAACTTTGCTGTGACACACCCTGTATACTTGTAACAGGGAACAATCATATTTTTCAAAGTATTTTTTTTCTTATTGCTTATGTTTTCAAATATAAAATGTATATGTTTTTTTTTGTTTTATGTCCTCATTGAAATAAAAAAAATATTTTGAATTTCAAATTATTTTCGTTTGGTGGTGGCATTTGTGACGTCAACTGTCTGTAAACACAACGTTAAGGTCTGTTCTCACAAGAGCCTTTGATACTTTGCAAACTTTCGGAAAGAATCGCTTAGCTTGAACCTTCGACTGCATTGTAACTTGAAAGCGGTTATTTATGCGGTATTTCCATATTTAGTGCCATATTGTGACATTTTGTGTTTCAAATAGTTCATCATGGTTGATACAGGATTTACAAAAGCGCAGTCTGACAATCTTCCCTCTATAGACCCGTTTATGTTGGTTCGATATCAGTCGTGGCGTGTCGTGAGCAGATCGTGGACCAATCGTTCCACGATTCAAGAGTGAACCACGAAAGTGTAGACCGTGGATTTACGATCAGTGTAAACTACCCTCAACCTTAAATTACCCACAGTTGACGTCACTGGAAGCGGCCATGTTAAACGTAACTTTTCCGCGCGAAACTTTTCAATTTAAAACTAATAATTGCCATATGACTATAATATCCATAAATTTAATACAAAACTTCTCATATTCAATATTTTACACAAAAATGTGCACCATAAAAACAAAATAAGCCATATTTATTTCTTATGAGAATCACCTACTATAGTGAAATTAATTAAACAGTGTATGCACCTGATCAAAATTAATGACATAAGCACGTCGCAATGTTGCCGCTATTAACTTTCGTTTTACTTTGAGTACTTTGACATACCATGTCTAGTAAAATTTGTTACTACTAAAAGCAAACAAACATCGATTTTTATACGTATAGATAGTGTATTATGAACACAATCTGAAAAAACTACTCCCTTTTCGTCGTAAATTTGATTGCGAATAGAGCTAACATCAAGGTGATCTTGATTCGTAACACGCTTCTTATGTGGACGTTTTTTCTTTGGTGAATTTAACGCTAAATTATCCCTAACTTTTGAGAGATTTTACATTGGATTTTACTCACAGTGATTATACCAATATTCAGTGCAGCTGCAACACGCTGGAAAAATATTCCCAATTCAAGCCCCAGAAGATTTATATTTGATAGTATCAATATACTTCACCTCTCTAACCCTATTGAATGGCAAAAAGGAGCCCCCATTATCTCATTGCTGTTCAAAGAAACTAATTAGAGACACAACGAGTTTCTGACTCTGACTATTCAATGACTTTGGCATTTTATAGATACACAAATAGAAATAATTTCAAATTGTTAAAATCAGTAACCGCAGATTTGCAGCAATATTTGGCAACATAACCCATGAGTGCCAATCTAAATGTCATTTTATCGGCCGATTCGGTTAAATGCCAACAGTGTTCTGTCTTTTTTTAACTAAGGTTAAATAAAAAGGAGAATGAGCTCTCAGCTTGAAACGAATTTTAATTTCTTACAAACTGCAATTGGCAATAATTTCGACGTCATTGATCACGTGCATACACTGTTTAAATAATTTCACTATAACAATAACATCATTAAAAACTTTCTGATATTCAGGCCTACGATGTATCATTTTCTGTTATTTTAACAGCAACGTTAAGTTGTATATCACTGTTTATTCTATACGTCAAAATAGAGAGAATTATAGATGTTGAGCTATAACATGGCTGTTAAAATAACAGGAGAGGATACATCATAGGCCTGATTATCTACAACTTTCACATTTGACATTTCTGGGTGTCTCTTCAAACAGGTGAGATAGGTGTGGGTGCAATACATAGACAATCACCCGGTAGCTACTTTAGCTACTGTAGGCAAAAATATTTTTATTTACAATCATACATGTAATGTTGACTTTACTGACTTTTAAAAAGTTCGAAAATGTCACTTTTTTGACTTTTACTTTCGGCCCACGGGTCGAAAGTTTACTTTCGACCCGTGGGCCGAAAGTAAATGAAATTTTTAAAATTTATTGTATTTTTTGACTCTTACTTTCGGCCCACGGGTCGAAAGTAAACTTTCGACCCGTGGGCCGAAAGTTAAAGAAATTGTTAATTATTGTATTTTTGAGTTTTAATCCAAATGAAACTTTCAAAATTCGAATGATTCTAAATAAAATAGTATACATACCTCGGTGAAAAGTTTCATTACTGTCTCGAGATTTCAGTTAGACCTCGGCTGCGCCTCGGTCTAACTTAAATGTCTCGACAGTAATGAAACACTTTCCACCTCGGTATGTAATATACTATTATTTACAATTATACATGTAATGTTGTCTTTACTGACTTTTAAAAAGGTTGAAAATGTCACTTTGTTTACTTTTACTTTCGGCCCACGGGTCGGAAGTTTACTTTCGACCCGTGTGCCGAAAGTGAATGAAATTTTTAAAATTTATTGTATTTTTTGACTTTTACTTTCGGCCCACGGGTCGAAAGTTTACTTTCCTCCCGCGGGCCGAAAGTAAATGAAATTGTTAATTATTGTATTTTTTTAGTTTTAATTTAAAAAAAATTTCAAAAATTCGAACGATTGTAAATAAAATAGTAAACATACCTCGGTGAAAAGTTTCATTACTGTCTCGAAATTTTAATTAGACCTCGGCTGCGCCTCGGTTTAGCGAAAATCTCTCGACAGTAATGGAACACTTTCCACCTCAGTATGTAATATACTATTAAGGATTTTTTTATTTCAATTGTCATTTAATTAAATCCAAATTAATATGTACCTATGAAAAAACAGTCTATTCTGAAAACAATATTTGTTGTTTCTGAATTGACTTACAATAAAGCCAATCCAGAACCTACTATTTACATTATTTATTTTAAAGGGACAATTTGGAATGGCTTGCAAGAGCTACAAATTGGGCAAAACTTACAGCCACTGCATCCCTAGGAGTGATACATCGTGGCCATGAAAATGAAGCTTTAGTACTTATGCAAAGTTACTTGCCAAAAGAAGTGGGTCCAAGTTCAGGGTATTCAGAAGGTGGCGGTCTGTATGCATTGGGTCTAATCCATGCTAATCATGGAGCCAATATTATCGACTATCTTTTGGGACAACTAAAAGACGCTCAGAATGAGGTGAGTAATTTCAGTTTTGAATAGTTTCAATAGAGGATATTTGTTTGTGGTGTTTCTAATTAGGTATGAGAAGCAATGTGGGAGAAAAAAAAAAGGGGGAGAGCTAATTTTATAGTCTAAGAGCCAGTGAATTTTTTTCCGTAAAAAGTTGCCGATGGAAAATTTCATGCTTAAACGATGTAATATTATCCCCCAAGATCGAAAACCATAGTCTGGCAGCATGTAGTGGGGAAGTTTGGCATAGGCATAATTAATTATTAAATTCATGGAAATCGAACTATTTGCCGATGGTCAATTTTTGGGGCATATCATTCAAAAATGTTCCCTTAACAAGGTTGTAATAATGCCAGACGATTTTCACGGGCTTAAAGCCTTGCCAGACGCTCCCAAAATGCAAAAAAATTATAAAAAATTCAAAAAACTTGCTGAAACCTGTTTTTTTACTTTTAAGAGAAAAAAATTGCAAGGCTGAAAGAAAATATTTTCTCAGCAAGGACTTCAAGCAACACTATCAGCAGCATCAGGTAGCAGTTTTACTTTTAATATTCATAAATAAAAAAATTAGTTACGTAATGAGCCTATTAAATTACTAGTGATATAAGGAGCTCATTACATCACTAGTATGATGATACAACTTATAACGTAACTCAAATAAGCTAAAACGGGTTACATTATCGTAATAAGCTGTCATAGTATGGGTGGGTCGTATTTAAAATGAAAAAATCATTATTACACAAAATCATACATAAAACCTAGCTTATTCTATTCTTGACATTTCAATACAATTAAAAATCGATCATTTATATTTTATTTTATGTCAATTCATTGTTCACTATTTAATTATTTTATGTCATTAATAAATTAACAGAAAAAAAAAGAAATATAATTATATTACAATGAACTATAAAGTATACGTAGGTAGTTGGAATGGGCGGACCGATTCATAAAATTGAGATAAAGAATGTGACGTATACCTATCCCTATTTATCTTATTGGCGAATTATCGAAATCTTTCCTTGTCCAAAAATTTTTTATTTGGGGTTAGGAATATATCAAACCTCACAGCAATGAACTGGAAAGAGAAAAGTAGCCATCAGTATATAGTTATCTTTGGACATAGAACCAAAGCAAGGTACTTTTCAGGTCTCCCTGAACCACCACTCCGGCGGTAGCCACCCTAACCTCAAAATCTTAATTGGCAGGGGTCATGTGATACCTTGTTTGAGGGGTTTTTTAATACTCTAAACCAGTGGCTCCCAAACTTTTTTAACCTACCGCCCACTTTTAGAAAATGGGAATTATCCAGCGCCCCCCTTGGGGATCCAAGATAGAACACAGTCCAGCACACTTCAGATTGCATAAGAATTCATTTTTGTTTGGTCTGATTCCCAAAATTTTTGGGGGGGCTGAGCATCAAGTTAGCTCTCCCAGTAGGATTTTGTCAGGAAATGACCGAATATGGGAATTTTGAGAAACCTGATACAGCACACTTCAGATTGCATAAGAGTCCATTTGTGTTTCATCTGATTTCCAAAATTTTGGTGGGCTGAGCGTCAAGTTAGCACCCCCAGAAGGATTTTGTCGGAAAATGACCGAATGTGAAAATTTTGAAAAAAACCTGATACAGTGATACAGCACAGTTCAACGCACTTCCGATTGCATAAGAATTTATTTTTGTTTGATTGGATTTCCAAAATTTTGGGGGCTGAGCGTCAAGTTAGCCCCTCATCTTGTTTTTACTATAACTTTGGTATCAGAACGGCACAGTTCAAAGTGGTTGCAATTTTGTTAGAAAATTCGAATGTGGGGGGCTTATTTGACGGAGCTTATTTTTGAGCTTTTTGAAGTTATTTATAAGTAAAATACAATAACTTTAATTTAGCTGCTGCTGATCAATGTGTGTATTAGTGGTATCGCATTTTAAGCAAGTCATAGCAGATTTAGTAGAGTAGAGGTGCGTGCGGGTTTCGGAATTCGCGTCGGAACTCTCGGGTTGCGTTCATAATTTGAAGCTTGCCAAAATTGTCTCTGAAAGGGGTAGACATAGACTGACTATGAGCCTTATCTTCTAGTATTGAAGAGTAATTTCTGTAAAAAACCATTTACTATTTAATTTTAATTTTTTTTTTGATCTGTTCATTTATTTTCCACCGCCCACTAATTTGTGCTTACCACCCCCCAAAATCAGCTGAGCTCTTTACCGCCCCCGAGATGGTTGTAGCACCCACTGGGGGGCGTTATCGCCCACTTTGGGAACCACTGCTCTAAACGAATCTGCAAAAAAATTTATCTAGATACAACATACAACAGACAATGGTTTTTGATCACGGGGGATAAAACTACATCGTTTAAGCAAGAAATTGTCCATCTGCAACTTTTTACGCTAAAAGTTCACTGGCTCTTGGACTATTACTGTTACTGTGATATATTTGACAGATGGTTGTAGGCTACCAGCCCCTTCAGTATTTTTGTATGTACTTAATAGGACAAGTGTGTTTTTTTTTGAAATTTTGTTGATGCTGAATGAAAAAATGAAGAATAATAGGGCTTTATGTATACCAGGTGACAATGAAACTACTACTCATGCCGGCATTTCTTAACGGCTCGAGATAGAAATATGCAACTCGGTTTGTTGATAGGGTTGAAAATTGTGAACAATTTGAATATAAAAACAATTGAATGTCTTTTCCGGTTTTACCGGAAATGGCAGTTTCACGTAAAATACAAACAAATAGGAATTATGACATATTTTTGAGCCACTCTATTTCAAAAACTATCAATTTTTGACATAGGGTATGTTAGACAAAAGTTATTTAGAATTGTCCAGAGAGTCCAAAAACAAAATATATACAGGGTGTCCCATTTAAAATAACAAAGTCATTGCCATTTCCGGTGAAACCGGAAAAGACATTCAATTGTTTTTATATAAAAATTGTTCACAATTTTCAACCCTATTAGCGAACCGAGTTGCTTATTTCTATCTCGAGCCGTTAAGAAATGCCGCCGTGGGTAGTAGTTCCATTGTCACCCGATATACAAGAAATACCAATGGAAGTCTTAGTGTGAATAACTGATTGCTCTCTGGTTTGTTCTGGGAATGGTCCAATTTACACTGAAAAGGTCCCAATTGGCGATTATAACTGCCGATGAGGGCGCTGCGGAACGTAAACAAATATGGAGGAAAGCGCGTATAAAATTGCGGCTCCTTCTACGTGCCTGCATGCGGACCACGCCGCAGTTGTTATTTTGCTCCCATTCAGTGTGAAGGGCCGCTATTATTTACCAGCTATTTGTGTATTGAGATTAATTTTTGCAAGATCCCACACTATTTTCATTTGAAAACTGTCGATTAGTGTCCTTTAATTTGTGTGAAATCAGTGTAGTGATTCTTCCACCAACATGAATCAGGAAGTGTTTGTAACCTTATCATCTGTGTTTTCCTATCTTCAATCGACTGCAGATAGCAGATGCATTGTAGAAGGTGAAGCTTTGATGAATGCCAAACATGTAATTTTGATTGGTACGACAGGTGAAACAGAGAGTTATGTGGAGATACTTGCACTTTGTCTTCAAACAAGTGCCATCAAGAGTAGCCCCCATGAAATCAAAGGAAAACTGGTCAAAGACGACGACAAAATAAACATTGCTAAGTTTATATGCAGCTGCAAAGCAGGTTTATCTGGGACTTGCAAGCATATTGCTGCAGTTCTTTTACAATGTACAAGGTAAATTGAATACATAATACAGGGTGTCCGAAAATAGCTTGAAAGCCTTCAACTACATTGTAGGGCATCCTTTTAGAGCCCCCATAAAAATAATTTGAAAAATCCTTCTTGATCATTATTTGTATTATAAAGTAGTAAATGTGGAGATTCAACTTCCTTATTTTTAATTTTTTTTTCAAATTGCAGTATTTGCTACAAAAAAATAGCTATCTTTTTTTTGATTTAAAATATAATGATTTATGGAAGTTTGTTATTACCTTAATTTAATTGCAAAATCTCTAAAAATTGACCTGAAAACATTTTTCAGTGCAAACATTTACAGTATCTAATTCCCAAGGTAATTACATATTCAACAACCTAATTCTGTGACAAATTGCTCCCTGTAGGTAAACGGATTACGGAGTACCTGCTATGTCTTACCTGTTGCAAGTAGGTACATGATTACTGGAATAGAGGTAGCTCTAAGTTACCACAAGGTAGTATTTTGATTGTTGCCAAATTTAGTAAACATTGAAATGCTAATAATTTTCTCAAGAATGCCACCAGATTTTTTAAATTATTTTTCTGGGGTACCTTGAAGGGACCTCCACCACATAGTGACAAGATTTTGGGCTATTTTGCGGACTACCATTTATTTTTTAAATTTTAATGAATTTGTTTAATAAAACTAATATCATAAAACTATATTCAGCTCTATAATCTTCTCTATTTTTTTAGGTCCAGTATTTCTTCATTTGAAAAACTCTCCAGTACAGATATGAAGTGTTACTGGAACAATAAGAAAAGAGTAGTCGAAGAAGATTATGAGTCAAGAGGAAACCTCCATTAACTCCAGAACAAGAATTGGAATGTTTTACTGTTTTGACCTCAACTTGTCTAGGATCAAGTTTGTCTCTTCATTTGTAAGTACTTATGAGACTGTGACATTCTATTTTCAATAATTATTTTTGAAAATATAAGATGAATACATAATACATCATGCATTTTACTTTTTAGAAAGGGTCGTGTTCCAAGTACCAAATCAAGGGAAGAAATCAAAGAAATTTCCTCATCTTTTGAAAGCATTTTAGCAAATGCTTCAAACAATGAGTTTCTGGCCAGCATCAATATCGATCTAACATCCTACCAGCTAAAACCATGTTGTGAAGGTGTATTGAAGAATGTTTCAAATATCGAAAGTTTAAAGAATGCTTTAACATGTGATCAAAAGTCAGAAATTTGGAATCAAGAAAGAATCTTCCGCATTACAGGTAAGATTGATATTGGAAATCGATT